TGCCAAACTGAAACACCCGTCCCGACCCAGACCCGACCCATTGACGGCCCCATTACTCACCAGTACCACAATGGATTGACATCCTTAGAAAGCGTGTATACACACACTTGACAATGTTTGTTTCTTTTTTAATTATTAGTTACCATATAAGCAGATAGTTGTGTAATTGGCCTCACGTCAATGCGACCATCCCAACGTCTATTGATTTATTCATCTTTCATTCGGCTCTTGCACGTGCACCTACTCGTGCCACTGCACTGGTAGAAGTTTAATTCACTGTTCTGTGGCTGGCCCTATAATATGATTTAGGGCCAGCAGCCATTGAGAATATTTTGGGGATTTTAGATTATGCCACAAACACAAAGTGCAAAGAAGCAGGTTTGAATGACCGAGAAGACTGATGAGAAAGACTATCGTAGAGTTGCTTTTCGGCTTTCATAGATTTCTATGTACAGAAAAAAAAAAAAGTGTTAGAGCAATGTCTGGTGAAAAACACGAAAAGTCAGCCACTGGCTTCTGGATCACTATTTTTCAGCTTTATTGAAAAGCATCCTCTCCCTCTCTCTATCATATAATTATATATACACATATATTAACAAACAGTGAGTAAATCTCACTAATTAAGCTGCTTACTTAAACCCTGGCCTATAGATTAGATACTTAGAATGACCTTATGCTAGGGAGCGGGGAAAAAATGTAACTTGCTGCTGCTAAACGCCTAAACCATTTAGAGTTTAGACCTTTACAGTCTAAAAAAATTAGAGTTTGTTAACAAAAGGGAAAATTCTCGATTAATACTTTATAATTTGGGTTTAGTGTCATTTTAGTCCTCAAACTTTAAAATACGATAATTTAGTATCCAAATTTTTAAAATGTGAGAATCCAATATCTGTCGTTAACTAGTTGTTAATCGGTTGTTGATGTAACCGGTTTTGGTCACGTACCATTTTTTGGGATGTGTAAAATTTTTTGGCTAAGTACCTCGTGTCTGACCTGGTGGTGACGTGCCTTGGTGATGAGCTACTTGGTTGCGAACTTCCCGGGGGAGAACTGCCTGTGAGGCGAACTGCCTGGTGATGCTTCCTGGTGGCGAACTGCCTGGTGGCGAACTGCCTGGTGGCGCTGCCTGATGGCGAACTGCCTGGTGACGAACTGCCTGATGGCGAGCTGCCTGGTG